GACCAGGTGAGACTGACCAGGTGAGACTGACCAGGTGAGACTGACCAGGTAACCTAGACAAGTAAGTTGAGATTGAACTGGTAACCCTGACCAGCTGTGACTGACCAGGTAAACTAGACCAAATGAGACCAAGTTAGACTTACTAGGCAACCTAGACCACGTAAGACTGAGCAAGTTAGACTGACCAGGTGAGACTGACCATATAAGCTAGACCAGGTAAGATGACCAGGTGACAGTGACCATCATGTCAAATGAACTATGACCAATAGAGACCTGGTTTTCAGGCTATGAGGTGTCTTTGTCCTCAGGTGGACCTTCAATTTCTGGACGAGGTGATCTCAGGTGGAGCTGACCCAAACTGCTCGGACAGATATGGACAAACTGTCCTCCATGAGGTCACACCTAATGAGGTTTTTGTTTAGCGTGGTTTAACTGTGTGTCGGTTGATGGTGTGAGTCAAGGCCAGGTGTGTGTTCTCAGGTGTCCAGAGCTTGGAGTGTGGATGTCATGCGGTTCTTCTTGGACCGGGGAGCAGACCTACACTGCTCAGATCAGTTTGGAGTTACAGCGCTGCATGTGGCCTCAGCTCTGGACTACGAGGACATGGTCAGGTTTCTGCTGGAGCAAAAAGGTCTGTGTGTCTGAGTAGCGAGCAGATCTCTGCTGGTTCAGCGTTGATGGCGAAGGTCTACGTTCTGTCGTTTGTGTTTTTGTTGCTGTCAGCTGATCCAGGCGCTCAGACTCTTCTGGACAAACAGACCCCCCTTCACTATGCTACCAAGAACGACGCTGTGGGATCCATCAGGCTGCTGCTGCAGGCGGGAGCCTCCATCAGCTGCACTGACTACAGGCAGAGGACGCCGCTGCAGCTCGCCGCCATCATGGGTGAGTTCACACTGACCCACGCTGTGGCAGCGCGGATCATGTCATGTCATGTCATCAGTGACATCACAGGTGGAATCTATTAAACAACTTAAGCTGGTCGCATCAGCAGTGACATCATCAGTTCGTCTGCTTCCAGAGCGCAGTGAGGCAGCTCAGGTCCTGCTGGAGCTTGGAGCTGACGCTGCGGTGCAGGACTGTGATGGACAGCTGTGCATCACTGCTCTGATTGGTCGGATGAGTCATGTGGTAATCAAGGCCCTGCCCCTGGAAGAGAGTAGTGCATTCATTGCTGTATGGTTGTTATGGTGACATGTAACGTGTTCAGGCCCAGGTGGCGCTGCGTCAGTTCCATGTGATGGACAGAGTGACAAGGCAACAGTATTTCTACCTGAATCTGCTGGAACCAGAAGGTAAAAACTGTCCCACAGTATAAAAGACCCCCACCATGCTTCACACTAAACTGTTCATGTCTCTGTGTTTCAGGGGCAGGAACCAGTGAGCCAACAACCCCTGTAAGACAACCCAAGTTTATAGAGTTTATGGTTCTAGATCACAGATAATCTGTTTGCTCCTTGGTTTAATGCAGAGCTGCGCACTTTGGAGCAAAATGCTAGGAAACTGGAGAGAATATATCGCTCCACAGGCCTACGGGAATCCTACCTAGTCTGGAAAACTAGTTTACTGCTGTCTAAGTGGACCCTTTGTAAAGCAAGAGCAGCATATTTCT